AGATGTACGGATGGTATTTGGCTCAGTTATGCTTACATAAACGGACAGCATTTCTTAATACTTGATTGTGAAGGTTTGTTTAGCACACGAAGAACAGAAATTGAAGAAACGAAACTAATGACACTATTGGCTGGTGTTTGTGATGTGACATGTTTAAATCAAGATTTGTCTTTCAACAGATATATGAATGTACTTTTCATGTCATTGACAAACGCTATTGGTAGAATCAATGGAAAGGATTTATTTAAAGGCTATTTATTGATTGCTATAAGAGATGTAAATGCATCCGGTGGCCAAGGTGTATTAGATGAATCAGTTAGATATGTTCAAGAATTACAAAATAGAGAACAATTTGCTTTTCTTACCAAACTTTTCAGTGAAAAATGCACTATTCAACGATTAAATCATTTTGAAAATACAAATTTTGAGAATGAAATAGAAGAACTTCGATCTTCATTTATTCAAGAAAATTTTAAACACTGGAATCCTGTTGCATTAAAAGAACAATTAAAAATCTTGTTGGTTCAATTGTACGCTGATGACACTAGTAATTTAGACGATATTCAATTAAAAATGAAAATTGATTCATTATATGAGGAAATATTGAATATTTGGTACGATCCTAGTCCCCTTTCGAAAATACCTGATAAAAATTTCAATTATTCAACGGTATTTAATGAAGTACAAATCAACATTGATTTCAGTCAGAACGAGTTACCAATATCTAGAGATGAAATTTCAGTTGACAATATGAGAAAATTCGAAATTTTTAAGAATATATTTGACAAGATAATGAATTTTGAAATAACAACTAGCAATTATAATGCATATTGGAAATTGTTCGACGATGTCATAGTCCATTGTATGAGCCATCGTGCAAATTTAATTGAAGAATATGCAAAGTTTATATTTAAAGAAAAAATTAGTAAAGACAAGTTTGATGAAGAATATGAAAAAGTTAATCTAAAATTAAAACATGATCTTAATGAATACAAGCGACATTTCAAGTTATGTTTGGAGAAATGTGGTTATTGCCAATTACGTTGTTTGAAAATAAAAAATCATTCATATGAAGAAACGATGGCCGTTGAAACAAAAATAACAAAACTTAAACAACTATTAGATAAGACATCAAATGAAACTGAAGTAGATGAATTAAACTTTGATCAATTATCATTAAAACTGAAAGCTGTAGACGAACAATTAGAATTAACAGAAACTAAAATAGAAAATTTTCGAAAATCAATAGAAATTAGCAACAACTTGCAAATTGGTCGAGATAGTATCACCAATTTAACTAAGAATATTTTCGAAAAAGAGAGTCAATTTAACGAATCCATAGCTTTATATGGTTTTGATCAAATTATAACAAAAAACGATGAAAATATAAAAGAAAAACTTGAACAACAAATATTGAATGGAATAAAAATGAAATTTTTAGAGATTTTTGCATTGGAGACAAATTTACCGGAAGATTTGAAAACTTGTGAATTAGAAATCATTTTTTCTCTTCTTAATGAAAAACTCCGACAAATAATTCAAGATATATTGGATAAATTCAATACTGATATTTTTTTACATGCAGAATTTGACAATTTATATGATAAATTTAATTTGTATGATATTTTTATTCAAAAATTTGAAGAATATTTTAATCAACTTTTGGTTAGTGTCACCGATTATATTCAATCATTAAATAATTCACTTACATGTATGAAAGACAATGAAAACGTTTTCACAGATAGACATATGAATCTAAAAAGTAAAATTGAAATATTACAAAATGATTCAAATTTAATTCAGGAGAAAGTAAGTGAACTGTCTAAAACTCGTGATAAAATAACATGTGAAATGAAGGTAATTTGTGATCGCGTCAAAATAGATGATATAAACATTAGTACGATATCTCAGGAAATTGAGACTAGTAAAAATGCAGAAACTACAATTAGTACAGAAACTAGAAGTATCAAAAATGATCAAATGGAAATTAAGAAACAATTAATGTCTTTAGATAAAGAAAGACTGAGTCTGAATGAGAAAAAGTTAACATTCGAAAACAAATTCTCAAATAGAAATATGAATTGTGCTAGCTTGTTTAATACTTTTAATGACGTTATACAAAAAGCAGAAGAGTACTTAGGTTTTAAAAAAGAATTTGAAGTCATTAGTCATACAAGTATCGAGTTGAAAACGACTATCAGTAAAATGAAAGCAAAAATTGATGCGAATGAGGCACTCATAAATGCAGTTAAAGTTGATAGAAATACTGAAGCCGAAGTTATTAAAATTGACAATGATATACAGACTTTGAATGGTAGAAAGACTAAAATGGAGACTTTGCAACAATCTGCTGTGGATAAATTGTCAAAAACCCAAAAAACAGATGAAATTGAAAAATACAAGTCTGACCTTGATTCAGTGGAAAAAAGTTTGAACAAAATTAATGCAAGTATAGAATTAAAGAAACAAGAATTAGAAAATTGTAGATTAGCTGAATCAGAAATAAAACGTAAGAGTGATGCGGTCATAGAAAAACACAGTTTATTGAACAATGTCGAGTATGAAATTTCAAAACTTTCTCAGCTAGAACAAAGTATTTCTACAACACGAGTTTGTTTAGAATCATCTGCCAATGAATTAAAACAACTTTATGTATCGAATTTCGAAGATTTAATTAAATTCATCACTATTAGAAACGAACTAGATTCGAAAGATCTTCAAGTAAAAACATATCATGATAAATTGAAAACATTGGAATTGGAAAAAAATGTCATCACTGAAAAAGTAGATACACTTAAAACAGATATCAAAATAATTTTTCAATCTATCGGATGGGATTTAGAAATCGATACAATAGATCAAATTAAAGAACTGGATAACAAGATCTTAGAATCCATGAATATCAATAATGAAGAGAAAAAGAAACATGAAATGAATGTATTAGAGTATGAGAAATTAAAAAATGAAACTGAACAATTACTTAAAGATAACGTGAATGAATATGCAACATCTCAGATAGAGGACAAATACTTTCAGCTAGAACAAATTGAAAGTGAATTGAAAAAGTTTAAAGAGGATGATTCTGAAAGAAAGTTTAATTCATTAAAACAACTTACTTCTAATGTAAATGAATTATATTTACTTTTGAATGATGCTGATGAAAGTATACAGAACATGCAGTATGAAATAGATATTAAAAGTGTTGATTTGGATGATAAGCGAGAGGAATTTGATTCATTAAAAACACAAAATGAAAAAATATTTGAAAATTACAAAGAAACTTTTATTGTTGCTTACGCGCATGATGATGAAGAAAATGACTTAATAATTAAAAGATTGAAAACGATTGAAAATGAGAAAGATGAACTGAAGATTAAAAGTAGTCAACTAGAAAATAAACTAGAAGAATATAAATCGAAAATGAATTCGATTAAATTGAATGATCTTGAAATGCTCTTATCAAAATTTAACCGATTAACGGAGACGGAACAATCCATTCAAACTGAGAACAATCAATATTCATCAAAAGTAAGAGAAATTGTTGATGATGAAAATCAACTTAAAACTCTAAACTTAATTAATGATTTTATCAAAAGAATGATAACAATTATTCAAATTAAAAGTGAAAATATGAGCAACAAAATCGATTCCATAACAAAAATTCACAATGAATTTAATGGTTCCAACAAAGCATTAGCTGAAATAATAAATACAAATGATGAAATAAAGAAGCTTGAAAATGAAAAATTTATGCATGAAAAAACATTAGAAGAAATAGAAAAAGAAAATCCAGACTATGAAAAATGGCTTATAAATAAAGTTGAACTTAGTCAAAACATAAAATTAAAAGAAGAACTTGAAGAAAGCAAATTTGGACTCAAAATTAAAATTGATGAGTTTGAAGATATCAAAAACTCCAAAAAGGAGATTTCACAGTTGGAACAAGAAATTAAACTTTTACAAGAAAGTATAAATAAAGCATGCTGCTGTAATACGGATCATAAATGTGATCAAATTTGTCAATCGTGTTCGAATCCCGAAGTCAAAGTTCCGTGTTTTAAAAGTGCGGGACATGAAGGAATTCATATTTGCGATAAACCACAACATAGTTGTACGAACAATTGTGAAATTACTGGCTGCCCCAATAAGTGTAGTCATCCGCAAGGTCATGAAAATCCTCGATTTCATCGATGCGAAGATCAACATTTATGCAAAGAAAAATGCCAGTATTGTTCCAAGCAGTGCATCAAATCCATGACAGACACCCATTCTTATCATATATGTGATGAGAAACGGTGCTCGAAACCATGTATTTTTTGTGGTTTCGGTAGTAGATGTGTAGCAGAGGCTCATGATCATATCATTACTGCAGAAGATGTTGAAATATTAGAGAAAGATTCAACAGATCTAATAATCACACAAAAGCATCTTTGCGAATCCAAACACAAATGCCGGTATAAATGTGGGAATCCAGGAGTATGTGAAGTAATATATAGTGAAAAGATAAAAACATGGAACACAGAGTCAGCCAATTTTCAATTCGTATTTTTAGAACCAATGGAAAGAAAATGGAATTGTTGCAAAATAATTGATGTTAATGAAGTGATACATTCTGGTGAACATGTTTGTGAAAAAGCTGAAAATCATACGTGTAATGCAAAATGTCCTGACTGTAGTAGCTATTGTAATGGTATGTATGGTCATGTGGGAGAACATTCAACTATATCACATCGAAATAAAGAAAATTGTTACTTTGTAACTAATGATACCCAAAATATTGGAATCGTAGCTAAAGACAAATCTGTGAGAACCTATAAATCAGGTGAAAAATCGACGCCTGAAATTTGTTCTGAAAGTTGTGCTAGAAGAGGAAGGTCACATTATCATTTGCGAAGATGCTTAGGTGAAGGTGATTGCGTAGAAAAAAATGAAAAATTTAACAATTATGGGATGCATTCCAAAGAAAAATATAAAGGATTTGAAGAATATGAGTACGATAAGTATCTATGCGTCTATTATTGGCTTTCTTATGATTGGTTAACACCACTAAAAGATGAAAAACTGATTCAAGAAAGTTTGTTATGCAATTGCTATTGTCCGCATTATTCACATAAGAGTGAAGAAAAACCGTCATTTTGTACTAGAGAAGCTTGGCATACACAGAGTATGTCAATACGGGATCATTCAATTTAATCGAATTCATTTTCGATTTATATTCTTCTAGTTTATTTTCTAGTTGACTACTTTTAATCTTCAGTTCATCTTT